GTTCTGAACCTAAGGCCATCATGTTGAACAAATTGTTTCCATACGGAATCAAACATATATGTATGCGTTGAATTTAATTTCATTCTTCAATCAATGCATTCTTTCCATCATGTTCATCCTAGACGCATGTCCTAGGTTTTTATCATCATGTGCATACCGCTGTAGGGAGGTCAGGCTTTCGTGCGCCTACTACAGTGGGCCCGTCCAGGAACCTTTGGGATCCAACAGGTTTCCATCAGGTGGGCTTTGTGTACGTACATGGTAGTCAGGCTACGGCTACCACCCAGTTTTGCTAGTTCACTTGCGACGTTTTGTCGAGCTCGGGTCATTACCGGAGTGCAGGGGTGATCCTGTCAAGTGAGACTAAGTCAGGGGTGTCCCTAATAACTTAAGTCATGCATCAAGTCATATTGTCATCATGTATGTTTCATGTCACGTCAACATTCAATGTGGTTGTTATTCATTTTGTTATGTGTAACAATATCCCATCAAGTGCAAATTAATCAGTTAGCAAACATGTGGTTTCCGTACGTTAAGTACAGGTATTTATATGTGTATAACCATATGGGTTACCACTTCATGTTCTTTTGTTAGATTCACTCCTCAGCTTTTGCTGAGCGTGTAGTTGTTTTGCTACACGCAGGTAGACATGACGGTACAGGTGCTAACCCTGGAGGCCAGTGTTGATGGGAGGATGGGCGGCGCACGGACGAGTTTATTAATTAACCATTTAATTAATTAATCATTTGGGCATGAACCCACCATATGTCGTTTTATTTAATTTGGACTTATCAATTTACTTCCGCTTTTACTCTGCATTTAAATCACACATGTTTTGGAACTAATTCCCTAGCACTTATTTCACTAATTAAAACACAACCGTTTTCATAATAAATAGTCATTAATGCGTTTTTCTCTACGGACGGTTCTCGGACCGCCCATGTAACCCTACCGGTCCGTTGGGTCGCGGGTGAACCGGGTCCACGGAAGGCGGGTGTTACAGTTTGACACCTTGCGCTAGGACTATCTGCTTGCGGTTCTTCTTCAATTCGGTTTCAGCACCAAAGCAGCTAACCTTCTCATGGCTAACCTTAGAGGCAGTACGCTCTCTGTCCTCATTAACGGGCAACCAGCGGCCTACTTCCCCATGACTAGAGGTGTCAAGCAAGGCGACCCTCTTTCGCCTCTTCTTTTCATTATTGCGAGTGAAGGTTTATCTCGTCTACTTAATAGAAGCATGGAGGAATCTCACATCCATCACTATAACATGGGAAGTGTGAAGTTCCCAGGCCACCTCACCTACACCGATGACATAATGATATTTACTAAGGGTGACTCCATCAATTTACTAAAGCTCAAGAAGCTACTGGACGAATACTCCTCAGATTCCGGTCAGGTCATCAATTTAGCCAAGAGCAAGTTCTACGTCAAAGATACCACTACCGGTAGCCAACTGAAGAACATGGAAAAAATCCTTGCCATGCATAAGGGAACCTTACCCTTCACCTACCTTGGGGCTACCAATTGCAAAGGGCAACTCAAAAAACACCACTGTGGCAACCTCTTGGACCACTTTGACAAGCACATTCATTCTTGGTATAGCAAAACTCTGAACCAAATGGGTCGTATCATACTCATCAAGCACGTGCTCTCGTCCATTCCCCTTCATATTTTAGCCATGCACTCCCTTCCGGTCTTTGTCATCAATCTTCTTCATGCAAGGATGGCCAATTTCTTTTGGGGGAGAAGGCACGACAACCAACTACACCACTGGAAGAGCTGGAAACGTCTCTGCCAACCCTCTACTGCCTGCGGGCTGGGTATTAAGGATCTCCAAACACTTCAACAGGCTCAATCCATCAACCTCTGGTGGCGGATGAAGCATGATACGGGTGTGTGGGCTAACACCATGCGCGCCATTTATATGCGTAAGGGCACTATCAAAGAAAAGCTCACTGATTCGTCAACTTGGAAGAGGATCTGCCGGGTACACTCCTACGCTGTCACTCACATTACTGACTCTGTTCAACCACCACTTTGGGATGGGAAACCGTTCTCCTCCAAGTCTACTCTCACCTCTCTTTACGACGGAATCCCATCCCGGCTCTCTTGCAAGTACATCTGGCATAAGGCCCAGACTCCTAAAATCCAAATCTTCCAATGGAAGGCATTCATGAATTGCCTCCCTTTCCTGGAGTTAACCAAGTGCTTCGGTTCAAGTTTCCCAAGCCAATGTCCCCTTTGCAAGCAAGCAAAAGATTCTTTAGACCATACTCTTGGCAACTGCAAGTTTGGCTACCAGGTTTGGAAGTATTTTGGCACTCTTATCGAAGCTCCCCTGACAACGGCCAACCTCAAACTAAACCAAATTTTCATCAGTTGGTGGTTCTCCGGCGATACGTTCTCCTTCAAAGGGGTTCTTCGAATCATTTTGCCCGGTGTCATTGCTTGGCACCTCTAGAAGGCAAGGAATTTAGCAATTCATGAAGGCCAAATCCACACCACGAATAGTATCATCCAGCAATGCTTTAAACATATACTAGCATGGAGTTGGGCTTCAAGACGCAAAAATGGCTGATCCATGACAACACTTTCAAGGGTTGGGGTTTAGATTTATTTTGGAGTAACGGTAGTAAACTTTTGTCGTTGGTGTAGTAGGCCTCTCTTTCACTTGTACTTCTTTTCCCTCAATCTTAATAAAATCTCTTTATTATATATATATATATATATATATATATATATATATATATATATATATATATATATATATATATATATATATATATATATATATATATATATATATATATATATATATATATATATATATATATATATATATATATATATATATATATAT